TAGTGATTACAATAGTTAAAACCACAAGGCTTTGAAGAATGAAAATCATGTTTTTTTTTTTTTTTTTTGTTTTTAATTGGCTCCACGGTACCTGAAAATCAGCTCTAAATTGTAACATACAAAACTCAATAAAACAAATATATTATTTAATTTCAAATGCTTTTATTTGTTTTTAGTTGTTTTTATGAATATGGACAATATTTTCTGAAAGCAAAAGTTTTTTCAATGAAAATTGAATTTTTAATACAATTATTTGTTATTTCTTTAATTATAATAGATTTTTACATTAAGTTTTTTAAAAATATTATAACATTAGTTAAAAGCAACATCAACCTTTCAAAGTGTCCATATGAGATTGTCATTGTCTAGCGCTTTGAAAATTGTATCGTTTGGACCAATCAGAAGATCCGCAGTAATTAAAAAATGTAATTTTTGTGCTTATAATCGGGCGGTAATTATAAAGTATGGAAGACCAACCAGAATACAATTTAGTTGCATTATTTGAGTTCAGCATTGTTCTCCGCTGTTAAGGCCTTTACTTTTGCGAAACACGTATGGAGAAGTTAATTTGATTTTTCAATTTCAACTGAGAAGGGTACCTATAAGTATCAGTATCATCTTATGAAATTTACCTATTGCTAAACTTTAATTTATATGATCTTATTTTTATATTAATCTCAGTTATGACATTTTTTCCATAAATGAAATATCAAAATTAATAATAAAATGAATGGAAATACAAATAACACAGTAAAATGTAATAAATGTACATAAAATTATAGTATTTTATGTAAACATCTGATAAAATTTCATAAGAAAGGTACCTATAAATTAGATACCTTTTTCTTATGAAATTTAATCTCACTCTTAACAGTCTTATTTTTTAATTTCTTTATATTTTCCATAAAGCATCGTAAACATAAAGATGAAAGTTAAGTACAAAAAAAAAAAATTAGAGCGCTGAAAGTTTTCCTCAAAAGTAACGAAGTAAATAATTTGTTCACTTAAATCTAAATAATTTCACTTCCTTCCATCCGTAGAAAGAATTATCCTCCCGTAAGTTATCTAAACATCATGAAAATGTCTTTCGTCACTTGTCAAACGACACGAAAGGTTATGACCTTCTTTGTTTTATTTTCAAATTACATTTTTTCAGTGCAGAAGCTAAGTTAAGCTTGGTTCAAAATATTTTAAACAAACATTATAGTTTCTGATTTTATTAAAATAAATATTGAAAAAATGATAATTGATTTTTAAAAGAATATCAAAGTCAGATTTTCATCTTTTTTATAAAAGGAAAAAAATGATTGAAAATGATGGATTATCTGTCCATTTTTTTGACAAAGAAAAACAATATTTTTAAGAAAAATTTCAGACGTGCTAGCAACGATTAAAAAATGTAAAAAAATACCCTAAAAATACTTTGATCTTTTCTCTTTAATAATAATATGAACATTAGACGATAAAATTTTGTTTTCGTCAATTTCGGCGTCTTTTTCATCATGCTATGCTCTTTTTTGTTTACATTTCATAGAGGTACCTACCTATATATATATATATATATATATATATATATATATATATATATATAAAATTAGGGTAACTTTAAAAGTTACCCTCAACCTAGTGGAATTGGCTGATCTCCTAATTTTCCATACTTAAAAGTTCTACATGTTATATTTTGATGTTTTTTGTATGTTTATTAAGCACTTTTTAAATACTACTGTTTCCTGGTCTAATGACCATTATATATATATATATATATATATATATATATATTAGATAGATAGATAGATAGACAGAGAGAAAGCTTTACTTATATGTATATCCTAACCTAAAATGTTTACAGTTTAAGGATGTCCAAAAACAAAAATCATTTTGTGTGAGTTTAACAGAACATGACATCTATGAAGAAATTGATGTTTATCTTAGAAAATAAGTAATTTATAAAACCAGGCCTTGAATACTTTTTATCTAATGAGCATTACCTTGACTATTTTGATTTGTCTTTTTTTTTCTTTTTTAACTTTTCCTTGCAACCAACCATATTTGCCATCCAAAGTTAGCTTTTCAAAATTTGTCCAATTTTAATAGGTTCCTATAGAGACAATGCCACTTTATACTGACACATCAAAGTCAAAGTAAAAAGATTAGGTTTTGTGTTACCTAATAGCATTAACAAAAATATACTATGGTTACATTTGAAATACAAATACATCAAAACTTCAAGATAAGAAACACAACAGGGAAATCATGAACAGTGGATTCTGCTTCTATTTGCACAAAATTTTGGTTTTGTGTGGTGGGGTTATGGTGAGAAAAACTCAGAAGAATGTTGCAATATAAAAGTTGTGGTTAAATACAGGTTTTTCACAAGCATGTAACAAGTTGGATCTGATACAATAGAATAATAACCACAAGGAAGAAGAGGATTAAGTTACTGAAAGTCTTAAATCTCAGAAACTTCATCATTATGATTAAAAAAGTGACACTGTTTTAGATATTTACCCTCTGACCTTTTTCGTTACATTGTCATATTTGATAATCTTTTGAGAATTTCTAACTACATTGTACTTGTTCTACCAAAAATGTTCTTTGTTAATTTTTCCTAATGGCCGTGTGTTTTATTTTTCACTCTGAGACTGTACAACTCATTATCAAATACAGGAATTGAACTGATGGCCATCAAGTAACTTATTCCCAATGTCATGCCCTAAAGAATAAGCAGAATGTCTCAGGTTCCTATTCAGTATTCATTTCCATATTAGTCTTTCAATAGTCAAATTTTTCAAGAGTGTTCTTTATGATTTTAATGGGTTAGTGACATCTCCCACTCCACACAACTTTACACATCCAGCAAACAAATGTATAGCTAATCCCAAATGACCAAAAAACAAGCAATCAATTCCCCACCATCTCATGGCCCAACTCTAACAGTTCAATCAGTGAAAACCAAATTACTAAATGTTCCACCATCATCAAGTAGACCCTGATTTTTTACTTATCAGGATGAATACTTGTTCTCTCAAGTAGAATCTGTGCCTTGAACATCTATTGAGACAAACTCTCTGCAGACCTCAGGTGGAACTCTCTCTCTCTCTCTCTCTTATATATATATATATATATATATATATATATATATATATATATATATATATATAGAGTGTGATGGATAAATTATGCAAAAAATAAAAATAAGGCCGACATTTTAACAAATATATTTACCAAAATTAAACAAAAATATCTTGAAATGCTAAAGAGTAAATTTATTCAGTAATATTGCCATTGACTTCAACCACAGCCTTCAGGTAACTTCAGAATCTTCTGCAACTCTTCTGGATGGTCTCCTCGTTTAAGTTGGTAAATGCTGCCATAATCCTTGCCTTCAGTTCATCTTTGGTATTACAAGGAGTTTTGTTGGTCTCTCATTTAACTGCACTCCACACATAGTAATCAAGGGGGTTGAAGTCTGGGAGTTAGGTGGCCAAATGTATGGATTGAGCAGCATGTTGTTCTGCTAACATAACAATATGGCGTAGAAAGACAACTGATCTTCTCGACACTAATTGTTGTACACATTGCCGCACTGAACTATCATATTCTCTTTTACTGTATTATTAACCAGAACTACAATAATATGAATGTTATAACACACATGCTTTGATTAACAGAGATACAATTCAGATGATCATTTGCTTTCATATGTCCTTTCTATATTTAGTTCATATGGTCCAGATTATAAAGACTCATCTATGTATTGTAGCTAGATAATACTAATAATATTTAATATACATAAAGCCATTTCCTCAGTGTATTTTTAGATTGATATTTATGCCGGTCATCATTAGAGATACTGTAGCCATGCCTTCTGAATTGTAAGTAGGTTTGTTGAGGTACTGGTATATTCATCACACAATTTCAGTTTCTCTCAAACCACTGACAGAACATAATATGTAGGAACTTTGGTAAACAGGCTCATGGCATCCTGGGTCGAATAAATGGAACATCTTTAACTGCATCCATAGAGTTCTGTATACAGTCAACTAACTACAATTGAATATTTGCCTTAATAGATTATTCAATGTGAGTTGATATCTTTGTTTCATTGAACATTATATTCTGTTTGGTTATTTTGACACTGGAGGTTGCAAGTGCTGTTCAAATTGTTTTGATCTATTTTTATCCACTTGAACAGTTAATACTGTAACTGCTGTTTTATCTGTGGGTTATGGTGCCCTGATATTTTCACAATCATCTTTGTTTTTCTGGAATTGATGATAGGAATTATTTTAGAATAATAACACATTAACTACCAAACATGAGATAACTCACGGCTAGCAATTTTTATTCTGATGTCAACTACAAATTAGCTTGCATTTGACAGTTTCTGATATATTTTCACCTGCGGGTGCAAACAACAAGTTTATTCACAGTCATAGTTTTATTGTGAAAGCAATGTTAAGACTTCATTTGAAAATCAATTTATAAACATTTTTTATTACCTAAGTTGGTTATTATAAAGGTGGCATTTGAAATCAGATTTCATAATTAACTTCTGGCAGTCAACATAACATACAGGACTTATAATTTTCTTCCTTTAGAAACAAAGAAAATATAGCACAAAAATTAAATTAATTTTTTTTCTTGGAAAATTAGAAATAAATTTGATATAAGAAGCATTTGGTTGACTCTAGGTTGAAGTGCCTAAATATGACACAAATTACACATGCTTACAATTGACTGAAATTGGTTTGAGTGATGGATTCATTTTCTACAGCTTATCAACCTTTTGCAAGTTATTTAATGCCAGAAAATATTTTTATATTGTAATTTTTTTGGTGGGGATAATAATGGTTTAGTGATACAAGTCTTACTAATTAACCTACAACTGGGGGAGAAGAGATGGATTCATACCTTTTCCAAAGGTATTTGCAAATAGAACTTAGCTCTCTGAGTAATAATTCCAAGTCATTATCCATTACACCACCCATACATCCAAGCTTACAGTATCTGGTATTCCCAGGTGGTCACTCATCTAAGTGCTGACCAAGCTTGACATTGCTTAACTTCAGTGATCATACAGGAACCAGTGTTTTAACATGATGTGGCTGTAAGCCTCTCTGTAATTTGATAGCCTGTATAACAAAAAACAGTTAATACTTGTAACATGACCAACTTTTACAAAGTTGAACATTCCCAAAACCATATCTCATAACCAGTAATATCAAGGACACTGAATTTGGTATCGTTTGAAAGAGAAATAAATTTATATTCCTCTAAAAGCAACTTGTAATACTTGTCTCTCAACAGTTTTTGAGATACATGAATTTAATTGCATTCTCATCACATATTCGGATTTTTTAACAATTAGGTCAAGACTCTCAGTATTTGACAACTGAGATCTCTTCAGAGCTGATAGGGTTAAAAACCATTTCATGAGAGACTTTATATTGCAGTTTATTTTTTTAAAAAGAAAATATATGTTTGAAGAAACTTTTCTATTTATTTTATCCCTATTCTCAATTTTTATGGCTAGAAATATGTAATTCAAGTCAGAGGACTCAATTCATTTTATTGTATAACATTCAAATGCAGCAACAAATAATGACATAAGAAAAAAAAAACAATACAGAATGTTACAAATTGAGTTTTTTTTCAATTGGCATCATTTATCAAAAATATTCAAACTTATAATTTTCTATAAACAAGTGCATAACTAGAGAATGCAAATATACCTCTGTTCCATTAATATTCATGCTGTTTTGCTATTCCATCAGTTCTATTTTGTTTCTTTGCTGAATTCTGAGCAATCCAGTTTTCTTTGGCTTCTTCCAATGCAAAATTAAAGCCCTAAAAATATTCTCCTGTTTTCAAGACCTGTCAGTTGACAAGCTAAGAATATTGAAGAGTAACTTTAAGAATGACATGACACAGAAATACATTCCTGTTTAAGAACTTGTGTTTGCTGACAATAAAATAATTGATGTCAGGCATTCTGGACCCAATGTGGTTCTAGAGAGATGACAATATCTAAGATTAGATTTTCAAAAATCAACATTTGAGCTTTTTTACTGTCTACACTTGACAACTCAAACTCTCCATAAACAGGCCCAGCTGTTAATTTGCAGCTCCTCAAAGAGAACAATAATGGATTCCATTCATCTCATTGCATTAATGAAAAAGACAATGACAATGTGAATGAAGAATTAGTCAATAAATCACTGATTTCATTAGAAAAAAATCAGAAACATCAGTGGAAGAGATTGCTTCATGTTTTTCTCATATTTTTTTTTCACTCGTGCAACAAAAGACTTTGTTAGTATCAGAATGTGGCATTACCGATTTCTATATGACCAATCTCATTTTGCCAAAAGGCACACTTAGATTAAGCTAGCCAAGAAAATGGAGTTGGCAGTAGCACATCAAGAAATATGCTAATTTTCTTTCAGTGTTTTGTTTGTGTTACAAGTTAAATAAAAGATTATTGGACAGCAATGGATTTGGAGATTAGAAAAGTTTCTTTTCAACTCTTTTGGGATATCAACTTAGTTAATGCATAGGGTACTGGCAAAAAAAGTGAGAGAAAAGTCCAAGAGAAAAATTAAGTATGAAATCAACCAGTTGAACAATTTTCTCTGAACAAGATCATAGACAAATGTTTTTTGGATTAGTCATAATACTCCAATTTTTTTAATATACAATAAAAGTAATGAAAATTAACACTTTTCTAGATTTTAATAATACTTTAAAAAAAACATTTACAAATCATTTTGAACAGATAAAATATGAAAATTTTTCTTTCACCTCCAATGCAAAGTCTCTCAAATGCTCAGGTTGATCAATGTCCTTCACACAGATTTTTTTAAAAAAAAAGAAGGTAGGAGCATCTATTGCAAACATGGGTATCCACAAAATATTTGGAGTAGTAGGAAGTCGATGCTTGATACAAAGACTTCATTTTTTTTTTCCTTCTATTAATATTATGAAAAAAATATTTTTGTATTTTTAAGTTCTAATAGCCTAAATTTGAAGAATTTTTTTTTTAAATAATTTCCATAACTGCAATGACATTACAAGACATTAACTGGTTTCTAATATTCTTTATAAACACATCCAGCCCATTATTTCTAAAATTAGGTTATTTTCATTTTATCTTGAAATTTTAAGTGGACATATCTGATTTTCATTAGACCTTATTGCTTGCACAATCAATAGAAATTCCACACATTAAATTTACAATTTCAAAACAGAATATAAAAGGATGTGTGTGTGTATATATATATATATATATATATATATATATATATACACACACACACACAGAGTGTGATGGATAAATTATCACCATTTTATATTTTTAATTTTGTGCATGTGCATTGATTTTATTTTGTTGACTACACAGTATAGTAGGGTCAGTTGGGCACCATCCAGGAGAAAAAGAGCACATATCATGCAATTCACTCCACCAGAAATTTGGAAACAGCCTGTTGTACTGCTTAGCATTCATATCAGAAGCTCCAATACGAACATTTCAGAGTTATTTGGGTGTCAATGTGAGGACAGTGTAGAGGATTTGGAGAGAGTTGGATGAATCTAATGGTGATTATGAAGGTACGGCAGCTCAGAAAACTCACACTGAACATTCTGATAAGACCTCATGAATTTGTTGGTGAGATCCAGGCCATGATTGAAAACGATCCCTCAAAGTCAATCAGGTCCATGATCCAGGGATGTAGTGTTGCCCTGGGTCAAGAAGGTGGCTGCTGAAAGACCCTATCTCTGACAACAGGACTCTGCACCATGCCACAGAAGCAGGAGAACCCAGTCATGGCTGTCAGACAATTTCTTCAACCACATAAGCGCTTACATCTGGCCACCTATCTCCCAGACTGCAACCCCCTTGATAATTATGCGTGGTGCACAGTTGAGTGAGAGGTCAACAAAACTTCTTGCAAAACCAAAGATCAAGGCAAGGATTATGGTACCATTCATCAACTTAAACAAGTAGACCATCCAGAAGAATCGCAGAAAATTCCAAAGTCATCTGGAGGCCATGGTTGAAGTCAATGATGATTTTATTGAATAAATTTACTGTTTAGTATTTCAAAATATTTTTGTTTAATTTTGATAAATATATCTGTTAAAATATCCATTGCACCATATTAATAAAAATACATAGTACCTTCTACCGCCAACATAACTGAGTTTCATGCTCATGTAATTGTCAAGTACTGATTTTTATTTACAGTTTTACTGTAAACAATGAAAATCTTAGTCATACTGGTGGCATAGAGTACTATGTATTTTTACTAATATATACTTAATAGCTCTGTTATTTAGCATTGAGCACTGTTTTTCTTACACCAAAGGATATATCTATGTATTTATATGTGAACACTGACATGTACATTTATTTATTCATTTGATTATATATATATATATATATATATATATATATATATATATATGTATGTATATAAGTTATTATTAAGAGTTTATAATAATCTCTTATAATAACAATAACAGTAATATATTGCTCTACTTCATATTGAGCACTTTTTTTTTTTTTTTTTTACTATAAAACATCTGTAAGTCATCACAGTAAAACAAGATGCAATTACCCTGCCAAAGGAATGTACTTCTCTTACTAGAACTTTTTGAAGTCTATGTCTGCTAATTTTAGTTTTATTCCTGCAATATAAATGAAATATTTTTTAAGTAGCGTATTCTTCTATATCACACATAACACTCATGTACACTTATAAATACTAGCTTATCTATTTATGAGTATATCATTTGCTTGAAGGTGTTTGTAAAAAAGTTTGTTCTCATGATAAGTAATCTTTTTTTCTCTTATCATTTTTGCAATTACCTTGCTGTAAAAAATATCCACTTGTTAAAAGCAAAATAATTGTTGAGGCAAATGTCTTCTAACCTTTCTGAAAGAGTACATATTTATTTTAAATGAACAACTGATATCTCCCGAAAGAATCATTAATCAATCCACTAGTAAAATGCTAACAGAACAATGTATGAGTGAGTGTAAATATTCCCTAAACTTAAATATTGCATGATGCCACAGTCATGGAGCACTTAGGGAGGATTCAATTTCATTGCTTGCAAGGTTAACTTGCCAGCCATTTCTCTATAGAAGGGACCAGCTCTGAGTATTATTTCTCAAGTAAGGTGGTTTAAGCAGAGTGCAGGAAAGTAGAAACATTTAATGATTGTATTTGCGATGTAGGACATCTGAGAGGGAGCTTAAAAGTTCTCAGTCCAATCAAGAAGTTATTTGAAGAAATAGAATAAAATTTTGAAGTTTGGTTAGAAGTAGTTTAGCTGAGAATATTTCGACACATCATTGTAATTGTAGATAGGAAATTTCACAAAGAACCAGATTAATAGATGAAGAAGCTGGATAAGTTCTGTAAATAGCTGTAGTCAGTGATTTTTATCCAGATGATATTGATTTTTAAGTCAGGCAAGCCCCAACCTTCTTGGAATACAGTCTTCATTTCCCCTTTGCCTTTTTCTGATATCAGACTTAACTAAACTAGGTAAAGATTCCAGAGTTATTTTTGTTTTAAAATTTCCATTTTGTGTATTCAGATATGATCAATTATTCTGATAGTAAAGTCCTGATGAAGGGAAGTTTAGAGAGGAAAAGAAATTATCAACAAAAGGATTCCTTGAAGTAATCAACTTGTAAGAACTTTTATGAAATTTCCTAGTTCTGGGCAAAACTTAAACAAGTGAAAGAAACTTCAAAAAATAATAACTCTTTTCTCTAAAATTCAATTTTAAAAAATACTAGTTTTTAGCCCCATTGTCCAAAATCAATAACAAATGTGCTCACTACTATATTGATTCGTTGATTTGGGTTTTTTTTATGGATTATCAAACCTTTAAAGATAGAAAATATTTTTAGATTGTAAGAATTTTTTTTTTTTTTGAGATAATGATTTTAGTGATACAAATTTTACTAATTAACCCATAGCTGGGGAGAATATGTTGATGCATACCTTTCCCAACAGTATTTGCACATAAATGAATATAACAAACACAATAGGAATTAGAACAAGCCATTATCCATTACACCATCTGCACATCA